GCTAACCTTGAACTCACTAGCCCAGCCCAGCCTTGAACTCGAGGTGATCCATCTACCTGAGCCTTCCGGTGCTGGGACATCAGGCATGTGCCACCACACCTGGCTCAAGACTAAGAACTTTCTTTCCCTTTTCCTACAATAAAAGTAAAAGTAGCCTGGCTAGGGATATACCTCAGCAGCATAAACGCCTGCCTCACCAGTGCAAGGTCCTGAGTTTAATCCCTGGTTTAAGGGGTGGAAAAAAAGCCTGTACTGTCTTGGGGAATATAAATCTGTTCATGATAATAAGCCTTCTCTTAGACTGCAGCTCCATGAGTGAAGATCACATAAGGCGCTGTGAGTGGCAGTGGGGGGAGGTGTTATGCTGATGAGACAACTTTCTGATCTCTGTTACTGTTCAGTTAGGTCAGTAGTGTTTCTGAGATACTTCCTTCCTTGTCTCTTAGGCAGAGGAGGAGGAAGATATAGTCTGGATGGAGGTTTAGTAGTAAGTAGTCAGAAGTAGGCTGATCTGATTTCCAATTACAGCTCCTCTGTAGTTGTGGTGTGACTTATTCCAGCTTGAGTTTCCTCATCTTTTTGTTTATTTAAGATGCTGGGGGTTGAACCCAGAGTTGGCAGTGTGCTAATAAGCACAAGCTGTACTTCTAAGCTACAGCTCAATAAGTTCCCTCGTCTTAAAATGGGACCGTTATTTCTTCCTGTATAAAGTTGATCTGGAAGTAAAATAAGCAACACGTGAAATATTCACCTGCTAGTTGACAGGTGTTTTGTAAATCCTCAGTTTTCTGCCTCTCCTGAACTGACATCCTCCATATGAAGTTTGAGGAGTCTGGACACACCATATCCTGGTCTATGCTAGTTAGAGACTTAGGATGATATCTGGTATAGTGGGTGCTCCATCACTGTTAGGCTAGTGAGAGTGGAGGGTACGTAGCTCTCAGCTCTGTGGCCTGTCATACTGCTTTGCCTCTTGCTGAGATTTTTTTTTTTTTTTTTTTTATGATGATACTGGAGATTGAGCCAATGACCTTCTATCAAAGAGCTACATTCCTAACACTATTCTATTATTTTTTTTTAAAATTATATTATTATGTATGTGTTGGGAAAGACTCATGGGCACCAGCAGCAGACAACGACACACAGACACTCAATGCAAACAAAGCAAGGGCTACAGCAAAAAGGCTGCCACCCCACTTTTGATCTTTATATATCTTGAGTCTCAGCCTTTGGGTTACTTCAGGTGAACATAACAAGATCTCATCCTGTGTGTCCAAGATTAATGTTTAAGCTATACTGTGTGTGAGAACCTGCTAGGCATCTGGGAGAGGATACAAAAGCAGGGTGTCCTTGAGTTTTAAGTGTTCTTGATTACTCCCGCAGCTGTTACTGCCCTGTTTTCTTTTTCTTTGTCCCACATGCCCTGTAGATTATTTAGCACATCTATGTATGTATGTATGTATGTATGTATGTATGTATTTGGTACAGAGTTTCACTATGCAGCTCGGACTTGTAGAGATCCTCCTGTTTTCAGCCTCCCCAGCGCTGGGATTACAGATGTGTGCCACCATGCTGGGTCTTGGTGCCCAGGCTTGTGGTGGGGCTGGCTCGGCATGTGATGCCAGGGATCAAACCCTGGTCCCTGTGCTTACCTAAGCAGGTGCTTAGTCTGCTGAACTGTCTAGCTGGCTCTTATTTTTTATTTTTTTAAAGACATTCTTGCTTTACGGCTCATACTGACCTTAAACTCACTATGTAGTGTAGGCTGGCCTTAAATTGTTGACAGTCCTTCTAACTCAGCCTCCCTCCCTGCTGGGATTAGGTGTCTTATCTTACCTGGCTGTTTTAATATTTTGGTATAGTCTTGCTCAGTTACTCAAGATGGCTTCAGATTCTCAATCCTCCTGCCTCAGCTTCCCAAGAAGCTTGAATTGTAGGTGAGCAGCACCAAACCCCAGTCTTTGGATGGTATTTTTGTAAAGAGGAGAGAGGAATAGGGAGGAACTTCATTGCCTGCTTTGCTTTGTCTCTCTCTCTCTCTCTCTCTCTCTCTCTCTCTCTCTCTCTCTCTTAAAACAAGGTCTTGCTATGCAGTTCTGGGCTGGCCTTGTGCTCACTTTTATAGCCTTTAGGCTGGTCTTTACTCGCATTGATCCTTCTGTCTCAGCCTCCTGAGTGCTGGGATTACAGACATGTACCACCATGTCAAGTTCCAGGGCTTGGGGCCAGGTGGGCATGCCTGGGGTTCTGGGGCTGGGTGGTGTACCAGGGGTTCAGGATCGAACTTGGGAAATCAGGTAAGTATGTCTCTGAGCTATTACTGCCTTTTCATTGCCACTCTTGACTATATATTTATCTCAGATCTCTAGGGAAATAAATTACTACTTTTCCTTTACTAAAACTTGGTTAGTAAGTTTCTGATTCAGCATCTTCTTACTATTGTTCATGTAAACTTGTATGTGACCAAAGTGACCAGATTCCATCCTTGAATACCTTCAGCATAAACCAGTTGTATTATCAGCGTGATTATGAGTCTGTCCACATCCCAGAATTGTGGATTCTGCTGAATAGTTTGAATCTTTTTTTTTTTTTTTTTTTGTCTTATTTTGAGGTAGGATCTTGTTGTGCAGTTCAGGCTGGCCTTGAGCTCACTTGGTAGCTCAGGCTGGTCTTGAACTTGCAATGATCCTCCTGTCTCAGCCTTCCAAGTGCTGGGATTATAGGTATGTGCCACCACACCTGGCTATATCTCTGTGTCTGTCTGTCTGTCTATCTATCTATCTATCTATTGAACTCAGGACCTTGTGGCTTGAATCTTTATCAAAATTTTTTGTTCAAATAAAAATCTTGCTTAATAATACTAAAAATTCTGAAAGCAGAAGAAAAATTTCTCTGTTCCCTGAAGAGTTACCATGTTTTAGTGAGAACTAGAATCTTCTATGAAGCTTTCTCCTTTTCCTCTCCTCTCTCCCTCTTTTGGGTATTGTGTGATATTGGGGATTGAACCCCCAAGGGCTGGCACTGAGCTACAGTCCCCAGCCCTCTTAGTTTTTAAATTTTTTTTTTTTTTATTTTAACATTTATTGTGTGTGTGTGTGTGTGTGTGTGTGTGGCCAGCTCAGCCCTCCAGGGGGCTGGGCTGGCTGGCATGTGGTGCTGGGGGATTGAACCGTGGTCCCTGTGCTTTGCCAAGCTTGTTCCAAGTAGGTGCTTTAGACCACTGAGCCATCTCTCCAGCCCCCCTTTTAGTTTTTGACATAGGGTTGCTGAGGCTGGCCTCAAGCTCATGATCTTCTTGCCTTGGCCTGCAGAGTAGCTGGGGTTGTAAGTGCACCACTGCACCCACCACTGTGAAGTCTTTTAAAACTAGGAAGTCCTAGACTTTTGAACTTTTGATTCCATGTGGTACACTTTCAAGTGTTGTGAGATGCTGGGAGTGCAGTGGTAAAGAGCAGAATCTATACCAGCAATTTTGTATCTGAGCTCTGCTGCCTGTATATCCACTTTTTTAGTTTTAGTAAGGGGCTACAGGGTCTACAGGGTCTCACTACATACTTGTAGTGATCCGCCTGTGTTCAGCCTCCCAAGAGCTGGGATTACAGGCATGTGCCGCCACGCCCAGTCTCAATTGCCTCTTAGTGCACCCCTGGCGCGGCATGCCAGGGATTGAACCTCTAATGCCTGCACTTGTGTATCTGCTTTCACATCTTTTCCTTTATATCAGTTTCCCATCCACAAAATACGGGTACTAATAATACCTGTCTCCGAGTTGCTGTGAGAATTTAGTGAATCTATAACTACACATACATACATGCATATACATTGAAAATAGTATAGTTGGATATTATGCATTGATATCACTAAAAATGCCTGACAGTTAAATATTATTATGCATTGTCACTAAAATTGACTTGTGGAGGGGCTGGTGAGATGGCTCAGTGGTCTAAAGCACCTACTTAGAACAAGCTTAGCAAAGCACAGGGACCACAGTTCAATCCCCCAGCACCACATGCCAGCCAGCCCTGCCCCCTGGAGGGCTGAGCTGGCCACACACACACACACACACACACACATACACACACACAAATATAAATAAAATAAAATAAAATAAAATTGACTTGTGGGGTTGGGGAGATAGATAGCTCGGCAGTCTAAGCACCCGCTTGGCAAATGCAAGGTCGAAAGTTAATCTCTGGTACAGGAAGCTGTGCTGGCCCTAGGTCCCTGGGAGTGCCTTGCTGGCCTCATAACTGGCGTGATATCGTAAGCCTGTAATTCCAGCACTGGGGAGACTGAGACAGGAGGTTTGCTACAAGTTCGAGTTGTGTAGTGATACTCTGTACTAAATACATAAATGGGGAAAAAGCAAACAAACTGACTAGTCTGAATTTGGACTGTCAAAAATAATTGTTTTATTTTTAGGTTTCAGTAGGGTCTTTCTCTTTTCTTTTTCTTTTGTCTTTAAACAGGGAAAACCCAGGGAGTGCACTGTGATCCTCCTGCTTTCAGCTTCCCAAGCGCTGGGGATTACAGGCGTGTGCCCCCACACCCAGTCTCATTCGCTGTCTCAGGGTGCCCTAGGGGTGGAGCCGGCATGGCATGATTGAACCCTGGTCCCCTCACCTCTTTTTTTAATTTTTTATTTTGAGATAGGGTCTTACTGAGGTATTAAATTGCTCAGACTAGACTTGAATTTGTGATCCTACTCTCAGCCTTCCAGCTATATCCTTATTCCTTTTATCTTTTATTTTGAGACACAGTCTTGCTAAGTCACTAAGGTACCCAGGCTGGATTTGAACTTGGCATATTCCTACCTCAACCTATGAAAGTACTGGGATTATAGACCTTTGCCACCAGCCTGGTTGTGATTTTCTTAATGATTTTAGAAAGCATCCCCTAACCTCTCTAGCCTGAGTTTTGATTTTACATTTTCTGACATAATAGCTGAAATGGCTTCTCTTTTCCTCTTTGAGTAAGTGACCTTTCTTGATTGGTTTTAGGTGTTCAGCGAGATGTAGCATCACAGTCTCTGGACCCAGAAGTTTTATTACAAGTTAAATCTGAAATTGAAGAAGAGCTAAAATCCCTGGACAAAGAAATTTCTGAAGGTCTGTTTATTCTTACTTTCCTAATTGTCAGGTTCTATTTGGTGTGGCTTAGTTTGATGATTTAATTTCATGTTCATAGTAGGATAGTCTCAGCATTATACAACTTCATTGGTATGAGTTGGGAGGAGCTGGGAGTTCGATCCCCAGGCCTGCCTTGCTGGCCCTGCCCCCAGGTGCGCTGAGAAGGCCATTGAGACAGGGCGTGGTAGCATGCCCTGTAGTCCCAGCACTTGGGAGACTGTAAACAGGAGAATCACTGTGAGTCCGATCTACAAAGTGAGACCCTGTGCACCCTGTCCTAAAAAAAAAAAAAAAGTAAAACTAGAAAGTAGTCTTTTTTCTTTCCTAGGAGATATGTTTATAAAATTTAACACCATTAAAAGGAAAAAAAATAAGCTCTTATTTTTGCATGTTTATATGCTATAGTTACAATTATTATGTATTTTATAGCCACATATTTTGCTACTAACACCATCCTACCTTTGTGTCTGTGTATGTGTGGTGCTGGGATCAAACCCAGAGCCTTGTGCATGCAAGGCAGGAGTTCTACCCATGAGCCACATCCCCAGTCTATTATCCTACTACCTTTTGTAGACATGTTCTTATGATATAGCTAACTTGGGCTGGCTTCATACTCACTGTGTAGCCCAGGCTGGCTTCAAACTCAAGTCCTCCTGCCTCAGCCTCCCAAGTGCTGGGATTACAGGTATACACCACCATGCCCGGCCTGTTCCTTTATTATTGAAGGGAGCATGTGAGTTGATTCTTGTTTTTTCTTTCATAAATAACGCTACATTAAATATCATGGCTTTCCTCACAATACTCCTCTATCTCCTAGATGTGTTTTATCATTTTTCTCCTCTTTCGCTAGGCCCAGCCTTACTCTGAAGAGCCAGTTTCTCTCTCTGTCTTCACTTTTGCTTTTAAAAAACCCACACACATAACTTAAATAACACTCTATTAAATCTTTTTTTAAAAAAAATGTATTTAGTACAGGGTCTACAGGGTCTCAATGCACAGATCAGACTCAGTGATCCTCCTGTTTCCAGCTTCCCAAGTGCTGGGATTACAGGCATGTGCCCCCACACCCAGTCTCATGCCCTGTCTCAGGGTGCCCCAGGGGTGGAGTCGGCACGGCATGGCGATTGAACCCTGGTCCCCTAGTGCTTGCCTAAGCAGATGTTTAATCCGCTGAGCTAGCCCTCTATTAAATATCTTGCCTCGTGACTTTTCAATAGTTTCGTTGATGTGTGCATATTTCTTTTTTTTGGCAGAACCGGGGATTGAACTCGGGCCCTTGTGCTTGCTAGGCAGGCGCTTATTCTACTGAGCTATCTCTCCGGTCCCTTATATGTGCATATTTCATGTAGCCTAATATTCACTGGTTTAAGTAGTGTACTTCAGTTTTTAGTGTAGTCACAGAATTGTACAACTATCATTACAGTCTAAATTTAGAACACTTTAAACGCTCTAAAAAGAAACCCTATGCATATTAATGGCACTTGCCTTGCCTGCTGCAGTAGTGCCTAACTGCAACCCCACCCAAGGCCGCCACTGATCTGCTTTTTATTTCTGTGGGTTTGCCTGATAGGGACATACAAATAAATGGAATCATACACTCTGTGGTGCTTTGTTACTACCTTCTACTTAGCATAATGTTTTCAAAGATCATTCATTTTACAGTAGGTATCAGTACTTCTTACCTTTTGTGGTTATTTTCCATTGTGTGGATATATACCACATTTTATCTATTTCTCAGTTGATATTTAAGTTGTTCCTAGTTTTTGGCTATTATATATAATGCTGCTATCAATATTCTTATGTAGGGGCTGGAGAGATGGCTCAGTGGTCTAAAGCACGTACTTGAAACAAGCATGGCAAAGCACAGTGGACCGTGGTTCGATCCCCCAGCACCACATGCCAGCCAGCCCCGCCCCCTGGTGGGCTGAGCTGGCCACACACACACACACACAATAAATAAATGTAATAAATAAAAATAAATAAATAATTTAAAATTAAAAAAAAAAGAATTATAAAATAAAAAAATATTCTTATGTAAATTTTTGAATGGATATGTTATTATCCAATAATTTGTTTTTTTTTTTGAGACAGGGTCCTGCAGTGTAGTCTAGGCTGGCCTTGAGCATGCAAACCTCCTTCTTCCACCTCTCTTTTTACTTTTTTTTTTTCCTTGAGTGCTTTGGATCAAACCTGGGATTACATGCATGCTAGGCAGGTGCTCTACCACTGAACTACATGCTTAGCTTTGCCCAGTAATTTTTAAGGGACAAATTTATAAGTGAGTTCCTTGTTGGTAGAGGGAGAATATAAAATTTGCAAATAATGTTTTCTTTTTTATATTCTTTTCATCAACATTTTGATGAAGTTTCCAATTCCTTCTTAAGCCTTTATGCACATTCTGATACTATTTCTTTGTAATGAAGTGGGCAAAAGGCAGAAAGAGATGAAGAACAAAGGCTTAAATACATTTAGTTACTGAGTCCCATATTGTGCAGCCCTGAGTATTAAAATGGATACCCTTGTTTATTTTGTTTTTTGTCTTTTTGAGCCAATGTCTTGCGCTATGTAGTTCCATCTGGCCTTGAGCTCACTTTGTATCCCAGGCTGGTCTGCTGGTCTCGAACTCATGATTGTTCTGCCTCAGCCTCTTGAGTTTTGAGATTATAGGCGTTCACCACTGTACTGGACTTAAAATGGATACTCTTAAGCTTGCTGAGAAAACAAAGCTATTTGTGAACATTATAATTTTTCTTTAAAATCATTTTTTGTCTATCTTAGAGATAAGGAAATAGTAAAATTTGCAGTCTTTTTTTTCTCCTGTATTTTAGGGAAGGGTCTACAGGGTGTTCAGGGTCTCACTTCTAGGTCAGACTCTCGTAGTGATTCTTCTGTCTACAGCCTCCCAAGAGCTGGGATTACAGGCATGCGCCACCATGCCCAGTCTCAATTGCAGTCTCAGTGTACTGCGGGCAGGGCTGGCACGGCAGGAAATTTGCAGTCTTGTACCAGGAAGCATTAGATCAGTGTAATCAGTATTGTAAGATAATTGGTAACTCTTAGCAACAGGTGTGAGTGTCTGCGCTAGAATTCTGTGCCTGCATCCAGTTTGTATACGCATAGCAGTGGTCCCGCCTGCTCCGAGCAGTCAGGGAATGGATAGAGCTCTGTAACGCGAAGGTAGGAATCGGGTTGAGGGTACAGCCCAGTGGCACAGCATCTGCCCGGCAAAAGTGAGGTCTTGAGCTCCCTTCCTGGTACCAAAAAAGGGGGAAATGAGGGGTTAGAGAAGCTGGGGAGTTGCTGTTTGTCTGTGGCACTGGGGATGGAGCACAAGACCTTTGCACTGAGTTTTAGTCTCTGATCTTTTTTTTTTTTTTTTTTTTTCTTTTTTAATTTTTATTTTTGAAATAGTTTCATTAAGTTACTAAGTTAGTCAGTCTGGGCTCAGATATGTGATCCTCCTTCCTCAGCCTATCACACTGCTGGAATTATGTGCATGTGCCAACAGGCGTGACTGAGAATATTTGTATAACTGCCATAATCTTTTTTTTTTAAATTTTTTTTTCATAATCTTAAATTTGGTTCATGCGCAGTAATTTTGAATTAGGAAGTTTATTTTAATAAGGGAATGGAAGCTGGGCATGAAGGCACACACCTGTAATCCCAGCACTCAGGAGGCTTGCGGTGAGACGATTGCTGGGAGTTTGGGGCCAGCCTGGGCTACATAGTCAGTTCAAGCCCAGCCTGAACTAAAGAGGGAGGTCCTGTGTCAAAACAACCAGAACACAAAAGGTGGGAGGAATAAAAGCAGGAACTAATCTTCTGAGGTGGAGTAACCTGATTAGACTCTGGTTTATGTCCACATTTATGAAGGGTAAAACAGAACCCTAAAAATAAATACTAAAAGAAGAGAGGGATGATAGAACCAGGAGTTGCTTCTCATTTATTTATATACTATCTTGATCAGTGTCACAAACTAAGCTGATTAAAGTTGGTGTTCCTCCCCTCGCTCCCAGGACTGGAACACATGCCCATTACATGCTAGGCTACCAGTGAGCTGTATATTCTGCTACCAGTGAGCTCTAGTTCTGCTAGTATATTTTTATATTATATTGTATTTTATTTATTGGACACAGGCTCTCACTTCACAGCTCCGACTTGTAGTGATCCTCCTGTCCCAGCTTCCCTAGCACTGGGATTACTAGCATGTGCCACCACACCCAGTTACAGTAGCGGCGTGGCATGCAGTACCAGGGATCAAACCCAGGTTGTTGCACTTGCTAGGCAGGTGCTTAGACCACTGAACTATCTCCCCAGCCTTGCTTGCTTCTTTTAAACTGACATTTTTCCATTAAAACCCTTTAAGAGGACTGGGGGCTATAGCTACAGGCATCTGCCTGGCAAGAGTAAGATCTTGAGTTCAATTCCTGATACTAAGAAGAAACCCTGACCCTTTAAGAAAAACTAAATTTAGGACCTATCAGTTTTTTGTGTTCTAGACAAGATTAATATCTGTAATGATTATCTGACCCTGTTTTTGTTGTGTTACTAAGGATTGAATGCAAAGCCTATGCATGTTAGGCAAGTGTTCTGTTAATGAGCTACATCAGGCCCCATGTGACTGTTAAATGGCTTGTAACTGGTAACTTTTCCCAAGGTCTTAGACCATGACAAATTCTTCATACTATTAATTAAATTAGGTTTCTCTTTTGCTGTCTTCAGCCTTCACCAGCACAGGCTTTGATCGTCACACTTCTCCCGTGTTCAGCCCTGCTAACCCAGAAAGCTCAGTAGAAGACTGCTTGGGCCATCTTGGAGAAAGAGTGTCCCACGACCTGAAAGAGCCTCTACAGAAAGCATTGCAAGTGCTCCTCAGCCAGTGAGTTACTGTTGCCGCGGGGATGTGCTTCTCTCAGTAGTCTCTGGATCTTGTGCCACGCTGGGTGGTTAAGGTTTGGCTTTAGGTGAACAGTGTCACTTTCCTTCAGTTGTCTTTTGCTTTTCTAAAGCAGCTGCTTGTGTTTTGAGTGAGAGCCATGCTTCAAAGCAGTGATTTAACTGTTCCAACGTAGATTTTTGTGGTTTGTATTTACTTGTTCAGCTATAAGATTTCAACAGATGTGTTTATAACATGATAAACACAAGCTGTTGCTTTTGTCCTGACCACTTTTTATTACCATTCCTTCTGTCGGCCAACATAAATAAAATGGCTCAGGTTTTGTACATCGTAAGGAGAGATTAGTATTATCTCAGTATTTTGGATATTTGTGTTTAACATTATATCTGTCTTCCAGATGTTGCTAAACTTTAGGGTTGCACATCTGTCCATGAAATTGTTTCTGCAGTCTTAGGGGCTTTCCTCATAGATATGTTTCTGACCATTTTGAAGCTCAGAAGCTAGAAGAATGAAAGTAAATTAAAACACAATCAGTTCATTTGTTCTAAATCTGTTTTTTTTATTTGTTTTTGCAGTACTGGGGATTAGGATATCAGACCTTTGTAATTAACTACATTCTCAGCCCTTTTTTATTTTGAGACATGGCCTTGCTAAATCACTAAATTGTCCAGGGTGCACTCAAACTTGATATCCTCCTGCCTCAGCCACCCAAAAAATGCTGGAATTATTAGCATATACAACCATACCTGACTTGATGTGGATGTTAAAAATCAATTTCCCGTAATTGTTTTTATTGAAATTATTAAGGAATTGGTATGAATTTGAGGTGTATTTATCCTAATGAAAATTGACATCTTTATAAAATAGGATGAGGGCCGGCCAGATAGCTCAGCCGATTGAAGCGTCTGCTTAGGCAGACGCAGGGGCCAGGGGTTTGATCCTAGGCCTGCAGTTCTGGCCCCACCCCCAGGGCATGCTGAGATGGTGATTGAGACTGGTCGTGGTGGTGCACGCCTGTAATCCCAGCTCTTGGGAGGTATAAACGGGTAGATCAATATGAGTCCAATCTAGTAGTGAGACCCTGAACACCCTATAAACCCTTCCCTAAAAATACAAACTAACTAACTAAATAAATAAAAATAAAATAGGATGAACTCTTCCCTAAGAGGGATGAAATTCAGATGCCAAATCTCTTTGTAATAAGCAAACTCCTTCTGTATAGGCAAAATTTATAGTGTTAAAAGGAGTCATTTGGGTTTTAGGAGGGTTCAGTTTCTTTCTGCATATTCTAATGAAATGAGCAAATGTAAAAACTGTAATTATACATAGTAAGATTAAAGGAACAATTTTAGTTTTCTTTCTTTTTTTGCCTTTTGAGACAGTGTTTCCTATGCAATTCAGACTGGCCTTGAGCTTACTTTGTAGCCCCAGCTGGTCTTGAACTCGTAGTGACCGTCCTGCTTTAGTGCCTCTGTGCCGCAGTGCTGGGACTACAGGCATGTGCCACCGTGCCAGGCTTAATTTTCTTTAAGACAAAAAATATCTAAAATATTTTAAAACTAAAGAGCTATATTACTGGATTACTTTTCAAGTTGAGAGCTGGGGATATAGCTCAGTGGCATAAGCTCCTGTCTGACAAGCACAAGGTCTCATGTTGGATCCAGGTACCGGAAAAAACATTGACGGTGAGAGGAGTTAGAATAAGTAAGGGCTATACATTGTGCCCTATTTTTAGCTTGAAATCTTACACTAAAGTTCTGACTTGTAGAGACTAGCCTTTCTGATAATTTGTATGTGAATACTAGTCACACCCAAAACCCAATTTTTTTTTTTTTTGGTTTGAGATAGGGTCTCACCAGGTAGTTCAGGCTGGCCTTGAGCTCACTTTGTAGCCCAAGCTGGTCTCTACTGGGGAGCCTCCTGAGTTGTGGGATTACAGGCATGTGGTACTCGGCCTGGCTGAAAAATACCCAAATTGTTGGGTGATAGCAATACTCAGGTCTCACTAATTTGTTGAAGAACTTAAGGTGCTATATATTTTAGCATTGCTTCCACGTGTAAATTAAAGCAAATAAAAAGTGATGCCATGTAACTGAAGAAATCAGTAACTTGGATAATAGATTCAGTGAAACTTACCCACAAATAGGTTTTGTGAAAAGTATTAATAGACCTGTAAAAAGGAGTGGGAGGAGCCTTGCCTGTAGAATTTAAAATTCCATTTCAGAGACACTTTCTGCTCTGACCGTTCTGGTCTGATTTCTTCAGTCTGTGAATGTTTAAAATGATATAGGTATAACTAACTTATATCTTACTGTGTAAGATTTTACATTTTTATATATTTATATTTTTACATTGCCATGAACTATCATTTTACACATTTTGTAAGCAGCAAGATAGGAATTTACATCCAGATGGATCTGCCTCCTGAGGCCACACTGCTCTCAGTTCAGGCTAGGATTCTGACAGTGCCACAATGGTGTCTAAATGACAGGTGTGGCTAGGGAACATCTGAAATGTCTGTGCTGTGTAGAAAGTGTAATATACACACCAGGTTTCAAAGTTAGTAAGGAAAAAAGGAGGCTTGAGGTGTAACTCAGTGCTAGAGCACTTGCCTAGTGTGGGAGGTCCTCTGTTCAGTTCTCAGTGTGTGTGTGTGTGTGTGTGTGTGTGTGTGTGTAAAATATGTCACAGTTTTTTGGTATTGAGCTTTTTTGAAATGACATTTTGCTTAAGCAGGCACTTAAACAACTGAGCTAATGGTCAGGCCCCCTGAAATGACATTTTGAATATACTTTGCTAAAATATATTATTATGGGGCTGGTAAGATGGCTCAGTGGTCTAAAGCACCTACTTAGAACAAGCTTAGCCAAAGCACAGGGACCGCAGTTCAATCCCCCAGCACCACATGCCAGCCAGCCCTGCCCCCTGGTGGGCTGAGCTGGCCACACACACACACACACACGTACACACACACTAAATAAATAAATAAATATTTAAAAAAAAATAAAATATATTATTATACTTTCAAGAATTAGTTTCGTTTTTTAATGTGGCTTCCAAAAATTTTAAAATTATGTATATGTGACTGGCATTATATTATGTAGGTAATTTTACTTGTTACTTGATTCTCTCTCTGTTAGTAATCCATCTATTTATTTGCAACATAGAAGTTGTACTAAATAAGTTCCAAGTAATTATAAAAAGCTTATGAGAGGGGCCGGGGAGATGGCTCAGTGGAATAAGCGCTTTCCTGTCAAGCACAAGGGCCTGAGTTCAATCCCCGGTTCCGCCAAAAACAAAAAAAGGGCCTGAGTTCAATCCCCGGTTCTGCCAAAAACAAAACAAAACCAAAAGCTTATGAGAGCTGGGCATATTGGGGGTATGCTTATGAGATGCTGAGGTAGGAGGATCACAAGTTTGAGCCCAGCTTGGGCAATTTAGTGAGACTTTTTTTTTTTTTTTAAGGGACTGGGGATGTAGCTCAGTGCAAAGGCCCTGGGTTCCAGCCTCATTACCACATGGGGGAACATATATTGCTAGGTTAACTACTTTCCCAAATGTGCATCTCAGCCTATAGGATGCTTGGAAAAAATGTATATCCAATATTGGAACTATTATCTTGTATAAAGCTGTATGTTAAATAGTTCTAATCACTTCAGCAACACGTAGAATTTTCCTTTTTTGTGACACAGACTTTTAAAAAATCTCTACAGGCCAGTGACCTATCAGGCATATCGAGAATGCGTACTGGAGACTGCAGTTCATGCCAGCGGCTGGAATAAGGTAGTAATCAAATTGTCTTTACCCTTATGAGATTTTAGTGTGTTAATGATAAAGCCTAGGTGGAACTGTTTAGCATTATGCTCAGTTGCCATCTCAGTGCCGTCTCACTGAACGTATAAATGTAGCTGTGTTGAGTGGACTCCTGTGGTTCCACTGTTTGGGTCAGTGCTGCAGTGTTCTTTTTAGCCTCAACATAGAGCCCCGTAGCATACTTGACCTTCATTTTTGTGTGCCCAGAATTTCCCATCATTTGTTTATTTCTCTGTTAGACATGTTTGTCTCCATGTTTGCTCTATCCTCCACCCTCAATCCTGAGGATACTGTGAAACATCTGTCAGTCTTGGTTATCAGTGTATGAATATGTTTTACAGAAAAGTAAAGTCTTTTTATTTTTTAGGGAAGGGCCTACAGGGTGTTCAGGGTCTCACTACTAGACTGGACTCATAGTGATCTGCTTGTTTATAGCCTCCTTAGAGCTGGTATTGTAGGTGCGTGCACCACACCCAGTCTCAGTTGCCATCTCAGTGCGCCCTGGGATGGGGCAGGCACTGCAGGCCCAGGGATCCAACCCCCAGCTTAATTCATTGAGCTATTTGGCTGGCCCTGAAGTCTCTATAAGATAGACCCTTCTGCTTCTCTTATTTAGTAATAGCATTTGTGTTTTATACTTTACATGTTGCATCTTGTTTGATCATCACAACCATCCATTGAAGAAAGCGGGATAGATTTTATTAGCTTTTGTTATTTACTTACTTTAGACAAGACTAATGAGAAGAAAGAATTAAATAATATTTCTAGAACCTCTTGATGAGTAACTGTGGGAACCAGCATAAGGCCTTCTGATTCTAGCCACCATATTTTTTCTAGTGTATCATACTACTAATCCACTATCTTAGACTTCATCATCTACTTTCAGTTACTTGAAAAGGCAGCATACAAGGGGATATAATATGAGGAAGAAATATGACTGAGTAATCTATTGCTAGGGAAGAGAAAATTCAGTACAATTATTTTTGCAGATAGCCAGCTCTGCTCAGCTATTTACAGTTATCTCTATGTAGTCACCTGTATGTGTGGTGGGTTGGTTCCTGCACTTCTCTCAGCAGAATTCTTAGATGCTCATTGCCTTATATAAAAAGCTGTAGTGTTTGTATATGACTATTTATGTCTTCCCATTCATATAAATTAGCTTTAGATTACTTACAATATCTAATACAATGCAAGTGCTATTTAATGTTATATATTGTATAATTTGGAGAATAACGAGATGGAAAAGAGTGTGTATGTTGCAGTTTTCCCCAGTATATTATTTTCCTTCCTTCCTTTTTTTTTTTGTTTGTTTATTTGTTACAGGGTCTCACTACACAGCTTGAACTCCCTAGTGATCATCCTGTCTCAGCCTTTCCAGCACTGAGAATATAGGCACGCACCACCATGCCCAGTTTTGGTGAGTGGCTGGCTTAGTGTCTGGAGCTGGCACAGCATGTGGTACCAGGGATTGAACCTGGATCCTTGCACTTGCCAGGCAGGTGCTTAGCATGCTGAGCTATCTCCCCAGCCTCCCCATATATTTTCAGTCCAAGGTTGGATGTCGAACCTGATCATATGGAGGACCAGGTCTGATCATGTACCTACTTGATAATGATTTTTTAGGTATATAATTTGACTTGTTCAAATTTCAGCTTTTAAATTTTTTTTTAAAAACATTTTTATGTCCTTAGTACAAGGTGCTATTTTGAAGTATATACACATTGTAGAATAGTTAAACCTAGCTAATTATTATTGTTTTTTTAAAGATCAAGTTAGCTTTAATAGTAAGCTGAGACAAAAACTCCATGAAAATAACAACTTTGTAGAGATCTTCTAGAACCTAGTATAAGAAGAAAAAGATATTTAAAAATAGACAAAATAAGGCATTCAGTCCAGCAAGAGGTTCAACATTTGATTAACAGGAATTCCAAAAAGAAATAACAGAAAAACAGAAGGGAGATAACCATTTTAGGTAAATAATTTAATAATTTAAAACCTAGCTAATTAATAAATCCATTACTTCACATAATTACCATTTTGGGATGAGACCATGTAACATCTCTTTACATTTTTTTATTTTTTTTATTTTAACATTTAGAGTGTGTGTGTGTGTGTGTGTGTGTGTGTGTGGCCAGCTCAGCCCACCAGGGGGCGCGGCTGGCTGGCATGTGGTGCTGGGGGATTGAACCGCGGTCCCTGTGCTTTGCCAAGCTTGTTCCAAGTAGGTGCTTTAGACCACTGAGCCATCTCTCCAGCCCCATCTCTTTACATTTTTCAAGAATGCAGTATATTGTCATTAGCCATCATCATTTGCTATGCAATGAAATTTACTCTTTTTAATTGTTATGTAAGTTTTTTATTTTCATTTTTAAAATGTATTTAGGACAGGGTCTACAGGGTAGATCGGACAAGTGCTGGGATTACAAGCATGTACCACCATGCCCAGTCTCAGTTGTGGTCTTGGTGCGCCCCAGGGCAGGGCTGGCACACCATGCTGGGGATCAAACCCCAGGTGTTGCGCTCTGCCTAAGTAGGCGCTTTAGTCCACTGAGCTATCTGGCCAGCCCTTGTAAGTTTGTATTATTGTTTCCCAATCTCTTTCTCCCTGCAGTCACCTAGCCTCTTGTAGCCACCAATGTATTTTCTCTGAGATCAACTTTTTTACATGTTAGTTTCGCTACAGACTGAATATGTGTATTTGGGTAGGTTGATTAAGCTTTTTCAATCTTCATTTTCTCATCTGTGAAATGGAGTCAGTACTATTTCCATACATTTCACTAGAATCAAATTACATACTAAATGTTAAATAGTACATCATGAGACACCATAGTATTTTGATTTGTACTATCTGAAGAGAAACCAGAGTATTATAAATACTGAGTAAGCAGCAGCTGTTGTAGTCATTTTAATATATATGAAATCTTATTTCCAAATACAGCAATGTGTCCCTTAATGGTGAGGGAATGTTGTCAGAAATCCATCTTTAGGTGACCTCATTATGACATCACAGAGTGTATGTACACAACTCTGGTACCTATGATGTCACTAGATGTTATCTTACAGGACCACTGTTATGTGGTCTGTTATTGACTGAAACATTGTGCATTGTTCATGACTCTTGTCACTGTTAGGGCATGTTAATATGTTGTTAGCAGTATATATCTATTTGCATCTTTTTTTGGTATAAAAGAAAATGCCCTCATATGAACATTTGGAATAGACTTTAGCTTAGGTGTGATGGTATTTCCTAGTATGCCAAACGTCAAGTACTCAGGTGTCTTCTATCACTCATTTTCTTTGCCTTTTTTTTCCCCCTACAATACCAAGGATTTAACTCAGGACCTTGGTGCTTACCAGGCAGGTGCTATGCTACATCCCCAGCCCTTCCCTACCTTGGCATTTTCTTCTGTCACACCTGCATAGTGACTAGTGTAACCGGTTCTTTTAGGCCCTATCCTCCACCCTCAATCCTGAGACTGTTGTGAAAAATCTGAGTCAGCTTTGGTCTTCACTATCTTTCTTCATGCTTTCTTTTCATGCAATCCTGTTCATGTTTGTCACTCATCTGAATCAGGCTGTGGCTTGACTACTCCACGTAAAAGAGGGGTACCAATTAAAATATTACTTGGTTAGCTGAATGATTCTCTCCTCAAGGGCTGCAAAGTGTCTGGGTTATGATAAAGGCTGTTGGAATCTGCCCCTCCCCTAGTGCAGCTAAAATCAGAGTGCCTAATTGGAAAGGATTACCTCATGCGTTACACTGAGCATGATGTTTGCAAGCTTTTTTTTTGTCTTTGGTATCTTGTCATACCACCAGTTAAAGGAAAACACTTGAAATATCCTGCATCTTTACCCAAAAGCAGTGTTCTCACTCTGCCCTTTGTGTGTATGTGCATGCTAGGAATTAAAGCCAGGCCTTGTTCGTGGTAGACACCAAGCCATATCATGAGCTTTTTACAGGGTCTTGCTAAGTTGCCAGGACTGGGCTTGAACTTGGAATCATTTTGCCCCAGCCCCTTGAGTAGCTGGGATTATATACAGGTATGTGTCATCATACTCAGTCACTCATTAGCACAAAGCCCACGGGGGCAGGGTGACGAGGGAGCAACATCAAATTTATAGCATCAAGTTTACACAGATAAAACTATCCAGCAACTAAATGAAATGCAACTAAAATAAAATACCCACAGAGAGAAAAGGAAATGTGCACAAAGCATGGCGGGTTGGAGAAAACTGAGTTCATTTGTAAAAGGCTTTTTTCCCCTCATTTTATTTTATTTATTTTTTAGAATTAATACATATCTGCCATACATCAGGATCACATTCATCATAAGAAATTTGTAGGACCAGCAGTATAGCTCAGCGGACTAAGCGCTTACTCAATGAAGCACAGGGGCCAGGGTTCGATCCCTGGCACCGGTTGCCGCACCGGCCCTGCCCTCGGGCGCACTGGGCTGGCGATGGAGTCCGGGCGCAGTGGCGCGTGCCTGTAATCCCAGCCATGGGGAGGCAGAAACCAGGAGGATCGCTACAAGCTATGTAGTGAGACCCTGCACAAAACAAAAACAAAAACAAAAATCCTCAATAGCTTTCGAGCTGTTGATTAAAAAAAAAAGAAAAAGAAATTTGTGCCTGTGCACAGGATATCTTAATTCTTTTTCTTTTTCTTTCTTTCTTTTTTTTTTTTTTTTTTTTTTTTTTTTCCTGTATTTAGGACAGGGTGTACAGGGTCTCACTACGTAGATTGGACTCCTAGTGATTCTCCTGTTTTCAGCCTCCCGAGTGCTGGGATGACAGGCACGTGCCACCACGCCCAGTCTCAGTGGTCTGTTTTAGCGCCCCCTGCGGGCGGGGCTGGCATGGCACAGCACACTGGGATTTTACTCAAGAAGGTGCTTTAGACAACTGAGCTAACCCGCCAGCCCTTCTTAATTTTTTTTTTTTAACCAGTCCCCTTCCTTCCCTTCAGCCCTTCTTTCCTTCTCCATGTACAAAAGCTGTTTCCTTTTTTTTTTTCCTTTTTCTTCCTTTTCCCTTCCAAAGGCATCTTTATCCAGTACTCTTTTAAGAAAAGAAAGCCGGGTGTGGTGCTGCATGCCTATAACACCTCACTCGAGAGGCTGAGGCTGGAGGATCTTTGCGAGTACAAGAGCAGCCTGGGGGCTGGAGAGATGGCTCAGTGGTCTAAAGCACCTACTTGGAACAAGCTTGGCAAAAGCATTAGGGACCGCGGTTCGATCCCCCAGCACCACATGCCAGCCAGCCCTGCCCCCTGGTGGGCTG